ATTATAGCCGAGATTATGACTGAGATTATAGCTAAGATTATAGCTGAGATTATGGCTGAGATTATGACTGAGACTATGGCTGAGATTATGACTGAGATTATAGCTGGAATTATGACTGAGATTATATCTGAGATTATATCTGAGATTATAGCTGGAATTATGACTGAGATTATATCTGAGATTATATCTGAGATTATATCTGAGATTATGGCTGAGATTATATCTGAGATTATATCTGAGATTATGGCTGAGATTATGGCTGAAATTATGGCTGAGATTATGACTGAGATTACGCCTGAGATTATGGCTGAGATTATGGCTGAGATTATGGCTGAAATTATGACTGAGATTATGACTGAGATTACGCCTGAGGTTATGGCTGAGATTATGGCTGAGATTATGGCTGAGATTATGGCTGAAATTATGACTGAGATTACGCCTGAGATTATGGCTGAGATTATGACTGAGATTATGACTCAGATTTATATAAGATTATGGGTGGGATTTACCAGCGTCTTGGCTGAAGACTAGCTCAGATTCAGCTGAAATTCGGCTGAAATATAGCTCATGTTGTGACTGAGATTTACCCGAGATTATACCTGATTTGCCTGGATACTGGCGGGTGAAACCTGCAAGGTCGGGCACGGTATCAGGGCCACTGCGAAACGACACTAGAACCAGGGAATGCTACCAACAAAAACCAGCATTTTCCGGCCACATCTGTTTTTCGTTGCAGGAGCGTTCCATGGCAGTCAAAGAATTCCTTGGTTCTCCATTCGGTATTCTTGCGTCCACTCATCAAGCCGGGTTGGCTCCTTTCTGCCCGCGAGCGCTTTTGGCGTTCGGCGCCAGACGTGATCACCGGGCCACGAATATAATCGAAAGATTGGCGGGTCACAAAATTCATCTTCCTTTGGTTCTCACCCTCGGAGGTCGATGTAGAAATGACAGCTGAACCTGGCGAGATAGGAAAATCTAGGAAACATTCCTATCGAACCGGGAGGGCAGACGAACCAGCCCGCACCCAGCCAAACCTCTCAAGCCTCGAAAAAAGAGGTACTTGTCAGCATAGCGACGAAGAAAACCAAAAACAAAGAAAATAACAAAGAAAATAACAAAACAAAAAATGAACCAAAACCCCTGAAGAAGAAAACAAAACCCAGAGAAAAACAAGAGAATAAAAACACAAAGACAGCAAACAAATAGCAAACAAACAACAAACAAACAACAAAAACAACAGACAAACGGCAGACAAACGACAGACACTACAGACACAACAAGAAGACGGGCAGCCAGAACAGGCCCCATTGGTATTTCGCAATGCTCTATTCGCGGCTGGGCCAGGATCCATTGCCCGCGGCGCCGCAGCCATTCCCGGGCAATTTTAAACGCGCGCCCAAAGTGCCATATAAGCCCGTGACGTTTCAAAGCACGGAATATTGGCGGCACAGGAAAAGACCAAGGCTCCACAATTCCCATCCATATGAGCTTCCTCAAAGGTTGGGCAGGGCCAAGCAGCAAAAACACCCCAGGGCCAGAACCAAAAAAACCGTCGGATCTGAAATGTCGGCCGCGGCCCCGGTTCGAAGACCCGCGCACGTCCAGGTCCCAGAAGAACACCCCAATGCCGAGCTCACGTGCCGAGTCTACAGGGCCTCTCGCAGACCATCCCAAATTAACTACCCCTCGGCAACTTCCCGCCTTCTTGACCGTCCACAACGACATGGCCCACCCATCAGTAAATAAAGCCCGCCTCGACACAGGCACTGCCAGGCGGGGGAGCTGGATGGCACAAAACCAGAAAAAGAAAATATACTGATTGAAGAATCCACTTTGTGCACACTCCCGCCACAAGGCCAACCGCCCAACACAAATCCCTCCAGGGAGGCCGAACAGGTGGTGGCGGTTGCCGCGAATTCGGCAGCGTGGACCCGCGCCAGGGGCAAGTGAGAACACCCCCGAAAAAATGACAGCGGGCCTGGCGCCGCGGCAGCTTTTGCGGGCCTCGGCCCTGCGCGCAATCCCGTGGACAAAACAGGGAAACAGACGGCAGCAAAAGACTCGCGCCGCGCCGAGAAAACACCCGCCGCCCGAACAAAAAGAGCGCGAAACTCGGCCCCAACACACCGGCTCGACAAAATGGCGCCAGATTCGCGCCTGCCGCCCAAAGAAAAAAAAAAAAAAATGGCCCCCGTGCGCGCGCGGGGCGGGGCCAGCGCCCTCCGCTCGTGGCTCCGAGCCTTGCCGCGCCCCCTAGTGCTGGCCGCCTGGCTGGCCGCCCGCCCCCTCGCCGGGGCCCTGCGCTCGCTCGCTCGCTCGCCCGCCCGCCCCGACGGACCCACCCATGTTTGTTTATTTCCACCGTGTTTTTTTTCCTCCGGCCCATTGCCAAACCCCCATTTTTTCCCCAGTGCCCAGCCAAGCAGCGAACGTTTTTCTGGCCCTGATCACAAGATTTGCTAGCGACACTTTTTTTTTGCTGGACCCAGTTGCAATTGCCTGACCTCGATCCACAAATCCTCGCCCTGCCGCCCTGCCGCCCTCACCGCCTGTCTCTTTGTTCGACTACCCGACATTCCTGGCACCAGCACGAACCCAAAACCCCCGATCCACTAACGCCCGGTTCAACAAACACCGACGCCCACACACGCCCACACAAGCCCGGCCCTACCCAGCGCCAGCCCTTGCAACCAGCCCCAACTCTGCCTCTCCTAGGTCAGAACGAAAAGTACAACGGAAGACGCGATGTCAACCCCGAAATCCGCCGCCGCCTCCGAGGAGTCGTACCAGAACGCGAAGTCCTCCCTCGTGTCGTCGCTCGTCGAGCTCTCGACGGCCGCGACCCAAACCGCCACTGCTGCCCTCAACTTCTACAAGTATGCCGGCACAAATGGTGCTGATGCCGCCACTGCCAGTGCCTCGTTGAAGACCTTAAGCGAGACCGTGCTTGCTGCTGCCAACGCGGCTTCCATGACGCTCGCCAACGGCTCAGCCCCGGAGCCCAAACGCACCATTGCCAAGCCGCAAAAGAAAAAAGAAGCGGCACCCGCTGCTGCCCCCGCCTCGGCCCCGGCCCCGGCCCCCGCCCCGGCTTCCGTCTCAGCGCCTTCCTCAGCCTCCTCTGATGTCACTGCAGACACCACCATGTCGGACGTGCTCTCCACCACGGACCCTGCGTTGTTGAAGCAGGGCTTGGAGAAGCCAAAGAAAAAGCGTGCGGAAAAAGACCCGAACGCGCCCAAAAAGCCCGTGACCTCGTACTTGCGCTTCAACCTCGCTGAGCGCCAGCGGTTGAAGAAGGAGCGCGGAGAGAGCGGCCAGCCCACACTCCAGGCCACCGAGCTCAACCAAATCATAGCCGATAGATGGGCCACTTTGGACGACGTGGCCAAGCTGGAGTTGCAAAGAGCCTACGAAGCCGACTACGAGGTTTACAAGAAGAACGTGGAGGACTACAAGACGAAGAAGCTCACCGAGCTTGCGTCTGCTGCACAGGAAGCCCAGGGCAGCCCAGTATTGGATGCTGTTTCGGAGCCAGCTGCGCCAAAACCAGCTGCACCAAAGCCAGCTGCGCCAAAACCAGCTGCACCAAAGCCAGCTGCACCAAAGCCAGCTGCACCCAAGCCGGTTGCACCCAAGCCAGCTGCGCAAAAACCAGCTGCACCTAAGCCAGCTGCACAAAAACCAGCACCCGCTCAACCAGCGGCTGTAGCCCCAGTTCCAGCAGCCGACCAGGCCTCCGCGCCCGTGCCGTCCTCGTCTACCGAGAAGCCCAAAAAGAAGAAGAAGGCTTCCAAGAAAAACGCAGAAGTCAGTGAAGCCGACGCCCTTGCCTTGGCTACAGAAACCGCCAAGGCCGCCATCGCTGCGGAGGAAGCGCAGGTGCAGCCCAAGCCCTCAAAGAAAAGAAAGGACAAGGATGCGTTGGAGAAGTCGTCGAAGAAAAAGAAGAGCGATCCGCAAGCATAGGCCAGCTCCAGTGCTTGTAACAGGCTTTCCTGTGCTGAACACCTTCACTTCTCTACTGTGTTTTGATGTACCCTATTGGATCTGCCGCTCCCCACGGATATTGCCGTCCCAGATATATAATATAATGTATTTTTACTGCAAACTAACCAAAAGAACCACGCCGACGTCCACGGCCGCCTTGAGTAGAAATGAACGGTGGGACCCGGCGCGATCAGTGCCCCTTCTTCTTCTGCTTGTCGATGTGCGCCCTCAACACCTTTTGCCTGTCGCGGAGCGACAACTTGTGCTTGCCTTGCACGGCCTTCTTGTGGATCATCATCACGAAATTCTTCTTTCTTGCCTTCTCCTTGTTCGTGGTCGAGTGAGCCACCTCACGCTTGCCTCTGCGCGAGCCGAACTTGTCTCTGTCCTCTCTTCCTTCCTTGGCATGGGCAACTCTCTCCTCACGCAATTGCTTGTACTTGATCTTGCCCACCAACTTCGTCGAGTCAACCTCCTCTTCGTTCTGCTGCTTGTTGCCCAAGATCTTGTCCACGCCTGCCTGGACACGCAACTCCTCCAACTTGGCAAAGTCCGCAGGGGTCAAGAACCGACTCGACAAGAGCTCGTTCATGGTGTCTTCGGCAGAAGCGGCCTTGGCCTCGGTCTTGGCCTTCTTCTTGGCGGGCTGGTTGTCCTCCTTTTCGGCGTCGTCGTCGGAAAGCTCGAGGTCCGAGTCCTCGTCGTTGACGAGTTGCGGTACGTCGTCGGCCGTGGCCCTGGCGGGCTTTTCGGCATCGTCCTCGGAATCGGAGTCCGAAATCTCGATCTCCTTGTCCGACTCCACGGCCACCCAGTCGCCCTCGATGTCGCTGGCGTTGTCGTTGTCCTCGACCTCCCAGTTGGCATCGTCCTCTTCGGCATTTGCGTCCTCATTGCCCAGCTCCTTTCTCCACTTGGCCAAAAGCTCGAGTCCGGGAATGGACGTGACAGTCGTGCGCTCCACACCGAAAACAGGCACGCCCTTCTTCTCGCCGTGCTGCAACTCCATGGACGCGATCTTGCCCCGGTCCTTCCGCTGCAACATTTCCGGCGCCACCTCTCTGAACAAGGAGACCAACGAGCGGGCGGCCATCATCACGGCCTTGGACTTGGAGCCCTTGTACTGCACCAAGTCCTGCAAGAGCGGAGCCTCGATGGCCAACGGCGCTCTGGCAAGGATTTCCCGGATCGTGTTGATTCCTGCCGCGGCCACCTCGGCAGCGACACCGTCACTGACGAACTCGTCCGCGATCTTGCGCACTACGGGCGAGATCGACTCCGGGGGCACCAAGTCATGCGAGGCCTGCGCGGCGGCAGCCATGATTTGCGTGACGTCTCTTTGCTTGGGCGTCAAGAACTTCAAGAAAAACGAGTAGAGGCCCAACACGGTCAACTTGTGCGTGCCCACGAGGCGCGACACGAGGTTCATGAACAAGATCTTCTGCTCCAAGTTGTAGCGGTTGGCGTTCTTGTGGCTCAAGTGGCCGTCGAAGAGCTGCTCGGCAAAGCCCTGCGGGTCTCTGAGCAAGTGGATGGCAGAGAAGTTCAAGTACGTGGCCGACACCTTGGCGTTGTTTTTCTTCTTCATGGTCTTGAGAGCTATGTCCACTTTCCTGCTCCGCTTGCCCGACTTCTTGTTGTGCTGGGCCTTGTGTTTCAACGCGTTCATGTCGAAGCCCTCCTCGTCCGACAGGTCCTCCTCAAGATGGTCGTTTCTCTCCTTGTCAGCACCCATGAAAAAGCGGGCGCCGGCCACCGCAACCTTGATGTCCGGGTGCAACGCCGCATGCGTCATGATTTCCACGGTCCGCGTGTCGTCCCAGATTCCGCGTCTCCACAACTCACGGGTCAACTTGGTGGCCCAGAAACCCTGCGCGTCCCGCTGCTCCAACAAGTTGAAGAGAAGCGCTTGCGTCGACCGGTTGATTTTCTGGTTCTTTCCGCCGGTGTTCATGGCTTTCAACAACGTGACCAACGTGTTGTAGATCTGTTTGCGCACGGCCTTCGCGTTCTGCGACGACGTCGACGAGTTTTGCGACGTGGAGCTGTACGATTGCAAAAGTGGGAACAACGTCAGAATGAGCGACTCGGCACTGATGGTGCCCTTGTTCCTCAACATCGTCAAGCACTGCACGATCTTCTCTCTGAGGTCCAGAGGCAAGTCTCTGTGGTTGTTCAAAAGGATGCTCTTCAACTCGTCCGGGAAGTTGGCCGTTTCCTTGGGGTAGCACGAGCACACTGCGCTCACAAAGCCAATCAAGTCGGCGAATTCCGTCCCTTGGTCGGCGGACGGATTCATCAAGAAAATGTCTCTGAGCGACTCGTAGTGAGAATACTGCTGCACGAATTCCTCATGGTACGACTCGGGGTCTCTCTTGACCACGTTCTGGAGCAAGATGATGTTGCTCGGGAGAATGGCGGCTCTTCTTTTTTTCCCCATTTTGTGTGTTAGTTGTGGATCTTCAGACTTTTCAGGAAAACAGCCTTGCACTCTCAAATTTTGCCCCAAACTCATCGCAGCCATCGCTCCGCGCTCTATGCACCACGGCTGATATGGAGATGCGCGCCAAGGACGACGGACTTTTGGGGCCAAGCCCAGGGCCGTAATAAACGAGGCATTCCGGGGCACTTTGCCCTGGAAAAACCTGGAGGTCCTTTTTTGTGTCCTTCTTTTCTTTTCTTTTCTTTTGGCTTTACATCTGATTATTCAGCTTGTTTTCACTGAAGACCGGACGGACGGGGAATGGACGCCACGGCCAGGCTCTGGGTGTTTTGTTGTTTCTGCTCTACCTGCTCTGGGGCAGCACCATCGCAAATACCGGCCCGCTTCTCTGCTGCGAAGCACGGTTCCACCCATCTCTGGAATTATTGGTTCCACCCACCTCTGAAAAAGTTTAAACTGTTAGGTCCACTTCTGAAAAAGCTGAAACTGTTAGGTCCACTTCTGAAAAAGCTGAAACTGTTGGTTCCACTTCTGAAAAAGGATCAGTATCAGTTTCACCCACCTCTGAACAGTTGAGTTCCACCAACTCTGGAAATAATCACCTCACGGACAACGTAGCACGACCGACCCCAAAAAAACACCCCTTACTCATTGAACAAATCACCTATACTGCTATAATTGATCTTCCTGGAGAACGACTTCTTCTGTAGCATTTGCTTGGCGTTTTCAGCAGGCGAAATCGTCCGGCCGCCTTCCCCAATCAGGTTAATAGCGTTTGCGACCGCAGCATCGTCCAAGAGCGAGTCGGCGTCCTTGATTTTCCGTCGCTTACGTGGCTGGCCGGAGGTGTTGCCTGTCAACTCATCCGCTTCGATTTTCAAGCGCTTCTTCTCCTGCGCGATCAAGAAGTCGTGGTTGAGCGCGATCCATATCCGCTCCTTCTGCTGCTTTTCTTCATCATTGAGCTTGATGTTCAAGACCTCCTCATCCTCGTCATCTGTGTTGATGATCTCCTCGTCCCGCACCTTCGCAAGGATCTGGCTGGTGGTTGGGTTGTTTGGCACCAAGTTCCGGGGCCTGTTCAAGTCGATTTGCTTGCGGAGGTCTTCCTCGTTCTGAATCTGCGCGGGGGTCCGATACAAGGAGATGTCGAGGGTTTTCTTCTGGCCTTGCAAGATCCGGTCCAAAGCGATCTCCAAATCCTCCTCCTTGATATCACCGCCCAGGAGAACGGCCTTCAAGAGCTCGTCGTTCCGCGCCTCTCGTTCCTCGGCCTTCTGCTTCTCCTTGAGTTTCTTCAAGTCCGCGTCTTGTTTTTCCTTCTTCGACGCCAGGTCTGCCTGGGCGCGTTTCTTTGAGGGCGTGGCGCCGCGCCCACGGGCCCGTGTGCCGGTGATGCTACCGAGCCTGGCGCTGCTCTTTGGAGGCGCCTTTGCGTTCGCCGCAGATGCAGACTCCGCCGCAGAGGCCGACTCCGCTGCTGACGACGACGTCTTGGCGGCAGTGGAGCGCAACGTCCGTTGCCGGAACCCCATGATTTTCAGGTGATGCTCGTCGTAGTCCGTGTCAGCCTTGCTGGAGTTATCTGGAAGGCTGTTGTATCCGTAGGGGTCGTCTTCTTCGTCCAGGTGAGGGACAAACACCTCGTTGACATCCTCGTCTGCGCCCGCGGCGCCCGTCTCGGGGTCTGGGCGAGATGGAGCTGTGGGGGCAGGTTGTGGGGGCGAGCCATGGCTTGCCGGGTCGAGAGAGGGGGCGCGGGCAACCGGGTCGTCGTGCGGGCTTTGCGGCACTGTTGCCTGGGGGTCGGCAGCTGCAGCCTCGTGGGTGTCTGGCGCAGGCTCGGCCCCTGCGGCTGGGTCCCGCGTATGGCGAGAGGAGGCTCGTGCACTAGCCTCCGGGCCGACGCGGTCTGCAGCGGGAGTGCCCGGCTTGTTTTCTGGGCCCGGGCCGCGAGGGTGTGCGCTTTGGACGGCAGAGGCCGCGCTGTCCACGAGAGCGCCGTTCTGGGGCTCTGCCGGGCCAGTCTCGGGGCGAGCTGCAGGCCCGTCTTCCGTGTCCTGGGGCGACCCGTCTAGCCGGGCGGTTCTGCCCGAAGTGCCAGCACTTGTGGCGGTGTCGGGACCGGCGTCCATGCGCAAGTGCTTGAAGAGCTCGCGCTGCCGGGCGAGCTGCTGGTACTTCTGCAAGGTGCGCGAGCGCTGGCGAAGCAACTCCTCGATCTTGCTCTCGATGGATCTGTTCTTGTGGAACGACGGCGGCTGGGAGTCGTGCGTGGGCGCGGACTCCCTGAAGGCCAGCACGGAGAGCAGCGCGGACGACGTGTTCTTGAACTCGTTGAGCCGTTTCTGCAAGGTCTCCTCGCCGACGCGGGCCACGGCCACGATTTCGCTGTGCGAGCGGCGGAAGTTGTTCATGCGCGCGGCCAAAAGGAGACACGCGCCCGCGATTCCCGCGGGCCGCCGGCCCTCGTAGATCCAGTCGGACGACATGCGCTGGGCGATCTTGGTGGCGTCACGGCACACCTTGGCCGTGTGCTCCGCGAAGTCCAAGCGCTCGGCAAAGTGCTGGATGAAGAGCGAGGGGTCTGCCAAGGGCAAGCGCTGGATCTGGAGCGCGCGCACGAGCTTGAGGTACGTGGCGCCAAGCGAGTACACGGAGATCTGGAGCCGCGAGCTGAAGTCGATGAGCAAGTGCGGCGTTTTCTCGTGGCGGCACGCCACGTAGAGGCACGCGGCGATCACGTTCTGCGAGCGGCGCCCCTGGACGAAGTTCTGCACGAGCGCCAACTTGAACCAGCCGTGCGCCGACTCGTGGATGTACTCGGGGATGCGCATGGCCGCGGCGAGAAGCTTGATTTTCTGCCGCGCGTTCATCAACGTCTGCTCCCTGCTCTCGAGCGAGTTGCGCATGTTGTACACGCGGGCCTGGTCCGCGCCCACCATGGCGCCTTGCACCGTGGCGGCGCCGCTGGAGGACTCGCCAAACTGCACCTCCGACACAATGGGGTTTTCGATCTGCACCATTCCACACTGCAGACACAAAATGTCGCCGGCGGTGGCCAGGAAGTCGCGCGTGAATTCCGTGTGGCCGCACCCGGCACAGGGCTTTGCGGCGGCGAGTTTGCTCATGGTTTCTCGGGGCCAGGCGCCGGGTTATAGGGGGCAGATGGGCTGCTGGAGGAGGCGCCCGAAGCGTTGCGTGTGGGGGCCTGGCGCGCGGAAAAAGAGCGTTTTTTTTTCAGAAACGGCGGAGTTGGGGCGGAGGCTCGGTGGGGCGTCCGTCGGCGGCGTCGGGGGGCCTGTGTGGTGGAAAGCGGCGGGGTGTTGACGCTGTCTTTTTTGTTGGTGTTGTAGCAGTTGGCGCGAGCCGATGTGGTTTGGGCCCGCGCCGCGGCCCTGGGTCACGTGGCCCGCGGTGCTGGGCAGGCGCCATTCGACAACTGTAATTATTGAATGGGGCAAACATTTCCTCAGTGCTAATAATTTCCATTTGGACGGTGGCCTTGAGATTTGAAATTATGGTTTGTAACGGATTCTTTCAACTTCCTGAGAAGAATTTTCCAGACTGCTCAACTCATCCGATAGAGTATTCCCAGTAAACGGTCTTGATTTACTATTATTTTAGGTATTGGTGCGCGTTCCTGGGGCCGGCTCGTGAGTGATCTCCCATTCTGTATTCGCCTTTGTTGTAGTATATATTCTCTTACTGCTGATGATTTCTATTTGGACGGTGATCATGAGGTATGAAATAGTGGTTCTTACTAGATTCTTTTAAAATACGAGTGACTTCCTGAGAAGAATCTCCAAGACTGCTCAACTCATCCGGTAGAGTAGCCCCGGTTAATCTTGGTCTACTATTATCTCTAGATATTGGTATACGTTTATCTAAACTAAATTAAAACTGCCATCTCTCAACTCAATTATAGTTTTAGCTAATATTTCTTCTAACCTATCATCAACTTTTATAATAGTTTTATGCCTAAATGTGAACATATCAGACTTAAATCTTAAATTACTACGAGCTGTTCTAGACAGGTCTTTGTTTAATATGCTGTTTTATATAATTGACAATCGATAAACTATTAGGACTCTTTTTAGATCTGGCTCCGAGACTGTCAAGACGATGAAGTACATTTTTGAACTCTCTGCTCTCGTACTAAAGATCGTTGACTAAATGTCGCTGGTTCTCTTGACTGGGCACTATTAGTGCTTATTAGAGAGTACGTTTCATAATTGAACCAGATATTATAGAATCTCTGTATATCTATTACTAGATGAAGCGAGTCCCGTAGTTATGTATTCTTCTCAGAATAGATCCGTAAGTTCATCGATGTCCAGTTATACAATCAATAGAGTTTATCTTTGTATTACTGATACCTATAAAGCCTGTATCTGTGAATTAACGTCGAACTAATAGCATGACGATCTCCTTCTCCTGAGAGCATTGATAATTGATGTTTAATGGTATAATTCTACCATAGACCGTTCGTCTGAATCTTGCTTTATTACTATCTTAATGATTACGAGATCCTTTTCTAGACATGCTCTGTTCAGCAAATGTTTTCACATATTGCCTCAGTCAGTCGATGGGAGTGTAATCACGAAATACTTGTTCTGTAACAGCTAAGAAATACAACACATTGGCCCACCTCAAGTAGGAAATATCGATATTGCTCCTGGATTATATGGTCCATGTGTGTAATGCGATTAATTGCATACTTACTAAAGCTGCTAATATAAATGGTAATAAGAAATGTAATGCACAAAAGCTTTGCATGGATTTGTTACTGAGCAATGTTAATAGGTACATTTATTATACTTTGGGAAGGAATATATTCATACTTATTATTATATATACATCTTTAATTTTGTATTATAAATTATACTACACTTGCACTATTTTTTAATCAAATCAACCAATCAAAAGGCTCTACCTTACTTCTTAACTATATAATATACTTGAAGTTGTATATATTAGAGGTTTTGCTTTATATTTATCTTAGTAGAAGAATTTTCATTTTCTCTATCTTTAAAAGGTTTGAATATTGTATATGCTTTTGTTACTTTGTTATTTTGTTGCATGTAATATAATTTACTTTTATAGCTTATTCTTCCATATAAATAATTTTAGTCGTATTTATACTAAAACTCTTATTAATTTATGTCTATGAATTTTAATTATATACAATCTTCTCAGGTGGAAAAATTAAAGTTGCTTAACTTCTATAACAACATTATTATCATACTCATAGTTTTAGTATTTTGAAAGCTAATTAATTATGTGCTCCGTCTCATAATGTGTCTTTATTAAGTTGTGTTTTTTTGTTTCTTGTGGTTTTTTCTTTAGTTCTTTGGTCTGTGTTTCTTGAATTGTCTTTTCCGGATTGTCTTTTCTGGATTGTGTTATTTGGACTGTGTTTTCTAATTCTGTAATTATGAATTCTGTTTTGCGGATTCTGCCATCAGGTCCTGGTTGTGAGGGCTAGCATTAGGCCCGACGTGTCCTGCGCTGGGTCCTGCTTATTAGATGTAGGGTTTTCGACGCTACCGACCGGAGCATCAGTATTCATATTTCTGACCGAGTATTGGTTCGCCGGCATATAGATTGAGATGCGAGGCTACGTGCGGTGTGGTTACGGACCTGTTTAACCGGACCAGATTATAGATGGAAAAGCTACTTCGCGGTCATTTGCGCACTGCGAGTTTCAGAGCCACGAGGCCATTTAGAAAACCCATGGCGTCATCCAGAAAACTCATGGCTTCAACTAGGTAACTCGTGTGTGACCGAACTTCTAAAAACCAGACAACCTGGAAACTCCGACTGTTGCACGTGCCCGCTTGCTCTCCATTCCTCAGCATGGTGCACCCGTGCTCCTTTATTAACCACCATCAATATGCTATACGGAAGCAAAATATGGTTTCTTCTTGACTTCAGCTGCTTGCGCATCCTATAAAACACGGCAGCTCTATTTTGAATACTCGATCTCGTGCAGCAGGGATCCAATCTTTAGAATGCCCAAGTAGTCTAATTCCATACATCTGATGGCTGATCAAACGAGACTCTCTCCCGGGGGCTTAATAATAAGAGAATATGAAGATTCATGAATCTATTCCGATAGATCTATGTTATGGCTTCCATCTTAACACCTATGATGATTTAATAAAAGTACTCAAATTTCGTAGTGTTTAAGCATCCTCTTAAAGCTTTAGCACATTTATTAGAATGGCAGTAGGCACCTTAGTCACTTTGTTCCTTTTTTAGCCTGAGTACTAAACATCTTATTAGACTGGTGTTTAATATATTACCCAATGCCATCCATCAGGCAACTCGACCTCTCTATTTGGCCGTCTCCTCTATTATGACCCGTTTTCCCGATTATTCGTATGCCCCGCCAACAGTGCGCCCAGGTCAATTTCCGCCTACTACTAAATGCCAATGGCCTCACATAGAGCTACTTTGCAAAGAGCCAGGATAAATCAATTGATGTGAAGTTTATTTCTTCTCCAGTTCATTTGGATGAATGCTCCTCTGTCACCATCTAGTTTAGATCTGTTTTGTTTTCAAAAGGGGTCATCTATATATTCACTTATCACTCTCCCTTATTACCTACATTATATCTGCCGATGGACGCGCGCTCTGTCGGCTACATGAACTATATCATATACTCAACGTGGTCCAAGGCCGGCTAGAACCCCAAATAAAGCAGGTGAGTAGTATCGCTTCCCCATGCGTATGAAAAATGACAAAGCACTGGCTCTGAATTCTTCATCTGTCAAGCCAGAAATCCTGGACTTGCCAGCCTCGTTTCTGACACCGCGGACACAGTTATCTACATCCTGGCAATCTGTAGCGACAACTCCACTAAATACAACAACAGACTCTGTAGAAGCCATTCTTGAACATGACACACAGTGCAGAGACAGAAATGACCCGGTTCCCGGAAATCTCTTTTGGTTCCGCGAACATTTCATCATACCGGTCGACCTCAGTGAACCTCGCGACATGCTTCAAAGTGAGCGGACACTCCTTGGTTTTGTGAGGTTTGCCCTCACACTCTCATTCACAGCGATCGGGTTGATTTTGGGATTCCACTTGAAGTCCAGGGGCGCAAAGAACGGCAGCGATGTCGGCCCTCGCTGGTCTCTGTTTAACCAAGCGGTTCCGTTCTTCCTTGCCTTCCTAGCGTTGGCTACATTGGCCACATCAATAGCGAATTATTTTCAGACGGTCAAGAGATATTCGAGACATAGGATACAGAACTCGGGGCCAAAGTCGGCCTTGCTGGTAGTCTGTGTCACTGCCGTAGTCGTGACTCTCGCTGGCTTAAACATATCTCTCACTGTAGAGCGGTATCTGCTAGACAACTGAGCACTGGTGTCTACGTGCTGGTAATTTAGAATAAATGAATGTTATGGTTTTGGCCGCTAGCTACATTTCAATGGAGCGATGATTTAGCGATAGACATACCATACAAGATCTATCGATGAAGAAACGCTCCTGCTCATTCTATCAATTAATGCGAATCGTAACTTACTGATGGAAGTTCCGGAAAGGGAGGACTGAGAATTCTTTGAATAAGCAATTTGGCCTTGGCTTTTGCAAAAACTGATTGTTTGAAGTGTATGCCCTCTTCCGGCTCAACTCAAAACTTACTGCTCATAGTCTACATTATAAGTGTTTTGTGAAATGAACTGCGACAAGGGGAGTGAGACGAAATGTAATGTCAAGGCATGCAAAGTGATACGCCTTTAAAAAGCATTTTCGTCAAACAGTATTCTGATCGAGTTAGATGTCTTTTGATCCATGGAGTCAGAGTGTGTTATGCGAAGTCGGGGTAGTTCCAAGTATGTTCACCATCTCCTCTCCCATGAGCCTCAACATACGCCCAGGAAGTCTTTATTTTCGCAAGAATAAAATTGTATGAACAGCTTGATTACCTATCCTTGAGAACAAAAGAGATTATTCACCTCACATCTTTCAACGAGAAATCACAAAATATGAACGGTGCTTTAAGAAGCTAAGTGTTGAGTCTACAAAACGTCGTGACAATATTTGATTGTACCATTGCTTCTTTGTTTGTACCATTGCTTCTTTGTTTGGTGCCTTCAAGGATCAAGGAAGCAAGCAGGCGATTGTCTTCAAGAAAGAAAGAAAAAGACTCATCGTTTGCAAACTCCTTTGAATACTTCTACGTTGACTATCCAGTTCGAAAAACATTAGAACAGAACAAGTGACAACAAGCATACACCCGTCATGTACCAATTCGTTTGACATAAAGGCGTGTCAGCCTAGTCTCATCAATCGAAGTAGTCTCAGCTCCACGGCATGAAAGCAGACTCAAAATCTTCAACGGTTGAGTCTTGCAAATAGATGACAAAAGCCTCAGCCATGACAAAGGGACGCCAGAACGACCCAGGCTCCTCCACTTCATTTTGAAATCTGGGCAAGCAAAACGTTTGAAGACAAACCACCTTCACTCATAAAAGTACTTTATTATTTGTGTTTCACCTAAAAATGCTAGTTGTGGCTTGAACGGAGCCTCTACTTCTGCCTTGGTTTCCCCGTACCCTTGCCCTCCTGGCGTGAGTCCCTCTTTTTCTTATTGATGTTCCGCTTCTCCCCAAAGTTTTCCCTGTCCATATCCATCAACGCCTCGCGCTTGGCATGTCCGATTTTCGTGAGAGAGGAGTTTATCACTTTATCATCCGTGGCATCCTCCATGAGCTCCATCTTTTTGTTGGCCCTCTCTTCAATGGCATGGATCCTCTCCACATCCCTCTCCGTGACTATGCACACGGAGTCTCCTCGTCTTCCGGCTCTGGCTGTTCTACCGGATCTGTGGATGAAGTCGTCGGCGTCGGCAGGGATATCGAAGTTCACCACAAGCTCCACCGTAGGAATATCCAATCCTCTAGACGCAACATCCGTGGCAATCAAGATCCGGGCTGCCTGCGCCTTGAACCGATGCAACGAGCTGGTTCTTTCCAGCTGAGGCATTTGCGAGTGGAGAGACGCCACACGGAAGTCCATTTTGCGCAATGTGCGCCGCAAAAGCTCTGCGGTGTCGGTGCGGTTCACGAAGATGATGATGTTGGCTTTCAGGTATTTCTCAAGCGAGATGATGGTGTGCAAATATGCCTCTTTCACGTACGAGGGCACGAACACGTAGTAGAGCGACAAAGTTGCGGGGATCGCCACCTTATCCACGCTCTCCACCTCGTGCAAGAATACAGGCGGTTTTTCCTCGGACTGCGGCTTGTTTTTCAACGACCGGACCGCATCCGTCACCGTGGCAGTGAAAAGAAGCGTCTGTCTTTTGGAAGCATCTGGTAATGCGCCCAAGCATCGCAGCAAATCCTTGCTGAACGTATTGCTGAGCACGCGGTCTGCTTCATCGAGCACCAAGTACTTGACACTGCGGAGCCCACGCACGGTTTCCTCTCCACTATTCAAGATATGATCGGCCAATCTTCCGGGCGTGGCGATCACAAAGTGCGGTCTTTTCTGCAATTCCAACGCCTGCTTGACGATATCCTCGCCACCCACTATGACGCTAAGCTTGATGTTCATCTGTGCGCCAAGAGCTGCAAACTGTTCTGCGATCTGCATGGCCAACTCACGTGTGGGGGTCAACACAAGCCCAAAAATGCCCAGCGGGTCCTCGGACCACTTTGTGAGCATTGGCGCGGCAAAGGCAATGGTTTTACCGGAGCCTGTTTTCGCTCCTCCGATGCAATCTTTGCCTTGCAAGATCTCTGGAATGCACGCTTTCTGGATCTGCGTGGGGGTGTATATTTTCATGGCCGCGAGCGACTCGTCGAGCCATTTTGCCACGCCTAGGTCCTTGAATGACATGGTGATACTATTCTGTTTACGCTCTGCGTTTTCAAGACGGCAGGAGGTTGTGAAGGAAGGTGCCAGGCGTAGTAGTATGGGGATTCAAAGCGAACGCGCGTTTTTCCCGAGCCGATGCTCATCGGCAGCTCGCTAAGACGCACGCCGGAGACATCTCAAAATTAGAGACGAGGCGTTTATCTTGGCACTGGGAAAAAGACATCAGAACACTCATTGGAAGTGCCCCGCGCCCAAGATTTGTATGCTGAGATCGTAGTGGGGGCTCCAAAGGGGCCCCGAAATATGATGGGGCCCGATGTCGCCGGGCGATAGCAACGTCGGGTCACGTGACTGCACTTGCGATCGTCGTACTCAGCAGCCGGGGTGCTGACTGCGTCTTCTCCAGTCCCTACTCTGCACAAACCGCCGATTGGGCTTGAGACACAACTATTCCGCCTGCTTGTACCCAACACAGCAAGTCCGTGGAGCTACTCACTAAAGCACATCGCATCTGCCCTCATGCTAAGACCTCTTTTTGGCTTGGCCCGGTTGCGCAAATGCCGGTTCAGCTCGGGTTTGAAAGTCCTCAATGAATCAGCGGATGCCATTCAAGCGCCCCCACAAGACCCGTATGCGGGTATCCCGCAGGTCACATGCACTTTGAGCAGCACCAGATCGGCAGGCGCCCTGGAAGAACACAGCTACGGGGTGGACTACTACAAGAAAGGCGTCGATGAGCTTGGGCTCACTGATGTGGAGGTGTCCATGGACCAGTACTTCAATGGCGACATGCACCACACACACAAGGTGTTCAGCGGTGGCCAGCACAACTACAAGCAAGGCCTGCGGATTGAGCAGCGCACGTTTGTCGACTTGCGCATGGTCAAGTTGCACACGGGCGACGGGGGAAACGGCAGTGTTTCCTTTCTTCGCGATGCCCATCGGCCCGTGGGCCCACCGGACGGAGGAGACGGCGGGGACGGCGGCAACATCTATGTCCAGGTGAAAAGCAACATCAGTCTGTTGCACAAAGTTAAGCGGACGTACGTAGCTGGAAGCGGAAAGGCCGGGGCCTCGAGCCAGTTGGACGGCAAGCGCGGCGACGACATTATACTCGAGATTCCCGTGGGCACGACCATGCGCTGGATTCCGGACCCGTTGCTTGTGCGGGACCAGCTCCGCGAGCTGGAGGGCGACATTTCCAAGGTGATGATGGGCATGAAGACGTCGCGCAACATGGACATCCAGCTTTTTAAAGACGACTACAAGCCCGGAGAGGGCTGGATCTTCAAAGACAAGGACGAGGAGTACCACCAGGAACGGGAGTACTTCACCGAGTTGAACGAGCAGGTCAAAGAATACGACCGCGAGATCATAGCGGGCGAGCTCATTTTCGACCGTTTCCCCATGGCTGGCATTGATTTCGACAAGCCCGACGACAAGCCGTTTCTCATAGTCAAGGGCGGCAAGGGCGGCATGGGCAACATGCACTTCCTCACGCCCAACGTGCGCAACCCGCGGTTCAGCAAAAGAGGCCGTTTGGGCGTGTGCGAGCATTTTCTTCTCGAGCTCAAATTGATTGCCGATCTCGGGCTCGTGGGGTTGCCGAATGCAGGCAAGCTGACGCTCCTCCGGGCAATATCCCAGGCCCGGCCACGGGTGGGCCACTGGGAGTTCACGACTCTTCAGCCTACGATTGGCACCATCTTCACGCGCATCGACCAGGACCCGTTCACGGTGGCCGACATTCCGGGCATCATCAAGGGCGCGTCGCAGAACAGGGGCATGGGCATGGATTTCTTGCGCCACATCGAGCGCAGTGGCGGGCTTGTTTTCGTGGTGTCTTTGGAAAGCAAGGACCCGGTGGCGGATTTGCAGTTGCTAATCGACGAGATCGGGCCGCGCAGAATGAAGGACAAGCAGGTGATGGTGATAGCTACGAAGGCCGACTTGGTGAAGCACGCCACAGGCTACAAGGCGTTGCTTCTGTTTATCCAGAGCAACGCGGGCGGATGGAAATGCATCCCGGTATGTGCGCCCAAAGGGGAGAACATCAACGAGTGTATTCACATGATGGGGGAAGTCGCCCGGATCGGCAAGGCCGAGAAGGCATTGAAAAAAAGCTAAGCAGGGCACTCTCCCGGATCCATCATTAGGGCAAGAGAGTACCGCTGGGAAGTCGGGCACACCTCGTCTTGGTATTCGTCCGCTGCTGGATTCGTTCGTGAATTGTTCGCGTACACGAAAACACTTGGGCCTGCGAGAAGTGGTTCGATCCGTAAGAAATTCCGCCACACAACGCAGCTTTAAACTATTTGAACTGAGAGCAGCAGGACCGATACGCAGGCTTCCACCGCTGCGCTTCCTGCTTGCGGCCGCGTGAATTTCTTTTCACGCATACCATTACTTATCCTAAAGAGGCAACTTTGAGAGCGGCCTTGCGGAGATTTTCTCGGCCGATAAATTAAGAATCGGTCGTTTCCACTTTGGGAGCGGCCCATTTGCGGTGGTTCTGTGCATGCACTCCAGAGCATTTTGGAAAACCCCTGGCTATGCTTTCGAACCATGCCTATCCGCGTATGCCTAGCAGGAGCAGAGTATAGCATCGATCACTCAACTTTGTACATAGCCATAAAACCAGAGATCGGAGCAAATTAGCTAATACTCTATTAATTCGTCATACGTGGGGTAGAAAAGTAGAATACTCTAATAATTTCAGCGTACGTGGGGTAGAGGGAGGGGTTAGAAAGCGTTGCGCGAATGGGTGCGCAACCAAAGAAAAAAGCAAAAAAAGAAAAAGGTGGTCAGTGTAGAAGGTGCGCGCATGCATGGTTCTAAAATTCCTGCGTCTGGCATTGTTCCCGGAACCGCCTACCCTAGCACTTTACCAATAAAAGGCGACATGAGGAAATTTTAACTTATGCCGAGAAAATGACTTCAAGCCCAAACCGCTCTTTACTCAGAGAGCTGAGCTGGTGTATCAGGAGAGCTCGCAATTGGAGAACAAAAAAACCAGCGTGGCCCAGAAGATCGCATTCCTCTGCGAAATAAACTATCCTTGGCCGGAATTTCTATTTCCAAGACAGCAGATACGCAAGAACCCATCACCACATGCATATACGGATTCCTCTTCGTGGAAAGACCACTAACAATCCAAAGAATAGAACATAAAAATCTGATCTGTCTATTATGCGATAAACACCTTGCTATACAAATGCATCCCCGAAGGAAGCCATACAAAAGCTGTAAGAGAAAAATAGTCCGGTCCTCGGTCTGAGGAACGGCACCAAAACGAATTGAAGTCATAAAAATCATAAAGGGAAAATGAAAGCGGGCCCGTATATTGTCACCTCCTGCGACAATGGCTTGGTTCATAGAACGACAGAACCGTCTTGCGTAACCGAAAGCAAAAGTTCTGATACAGCGGCGGTAGCAGCTGCCCGCAGCTGTATCAATGCGACCTCTGGCTCTACGCATGTGGCTGCAGATGCACTGGGAATCGACATCGAGGTAGTGACGAATGCGTTCATTGTATGTGCCCGACGCGAGACTGAGACGTGCTCGTAATCCTTGTGTGTTTCCCTTGGCGAGGCAGAACGCAACACTGCAGTCATGCCCACATCACACATGTTTTCTGCACACCGGGCTTCTAGCACCTGCTCGATCCCACGGAATATACCATTATATCCTTTGTAAATGGGTTTAGGGATCGTAAAGTCAAAGCCGCACGCATCGTATGTCTCTAGGTCTGCTGCTGCACTTTTAGTCGTGACTGCCACAAGACCTAGGCGGTGCAATGCTGGGTCCAGACGCACAGTCTTGGCGATGTCGACACCAGTAACATGTGGCATCTCGATGTCGAGAAACACAATCTGGTACAGCAGAAGCTTGGCAGTGTCAACCTGAGATGAGTCTTGCATCATGTCGATAGCACTGTTGGGAAATAGTCTTTTCAAAACACGGCGGAATATCCGGAGATTGATTTCATTATCATCTACAATTAAAAATTTGTAGCTGTTTGGGTTCGGCACCAATCCCAACGCCGAATTGTGCCCGGGGGATGAGTGCAACGAAAATTGCGGCCCGGTGCTGAGCATGTGCGCCTCTAACTCAGTTGTACTAGTTGTGCGCCAGGTCTCACGTTTAAAAGGGCCAGATTCTGCTAGAGGAGAAATCATCATTTTCAAACAAAGCAGAGAAAAAGGAAGGGCATAGAATAAATAACGTGGGCGGCTGAGGAGGATGAATTGCTTATCGGGTGAGGGCCCCAGGGGATAGCTGCATTCTTTTATACAACTTTAACAGTTTTCGCCTGCGTGACAAGACAAGCCAGGCCCTTGGGCGAGCTCGCCTCATGCGCTGCGTCAGGGGCAAATATTGCAGAATGCAGAAAATGCAGAGGAGTGCGTTGTGGATCGGTCTACTGCACCCCACATGGCGTAACTTTCCGCCACCGAGTTGCATCACTGCGCGCGCGCCAGAGTCAGGCAGGGCGTCCTGCGAAGGTCTGGATCCTTGAGCTGTACGGTAACGCATCGCAGCTTTCTGAAGCGACAAGAGATTTGAGCTCGCTTGCAGGCTTGTTCCCCCAATCAGTTCCCCACTCACCATGTGGGCTTACCCCTCATAGCTCCGCTTTTCATAGGTGAACTAGTTTAGACAAGAAATACATCGATTTCTTGTTTACCCATGGCTTTTCCGACGCGACCCAGAAACTGGCCACCTGAGTAACGTGTGAGTCATTGTGGAGAATAACCCAAAGATAAATAGTGGGGGACAAGACTCTTCCTTCCTGCGGCGGTTTGCAAGCCAGTTCAAAACAAAGTTGCTTTCTATGGTCAATGGCCATTGCTCCTCCAAAGCGCCCTTTCGAATGAGCTAAATTTCTGACATCACGGTTGATTGAGTGCTACTCGAGGTATTGTTACTAAGTGATTGCTGAGAACTTAACGCCAACTGAGAAATATTGATGGAGGCACGGATGTTTACGTGCTGATGCCTGGGCGCCTGGCCAGATCTAGAATGCATATTATACAGTACGGGCGGGCCGCCTTCTTTCTTGCCCAAAAAGGGCTGACCCGAGAGGCCCAACTAGGCATTTCCAGGACACACCGCAAAAGACACAAACATGCATGAAAAACGGGCCACTATACCCAAATTCGCGCAGAGTTTAATGAAAGTATCTGCAGCCAACTATGACACATTTAATCCGCATCCACGATGTGGGTATGGTTCATAGGTCTCAGTGCGCACGTGATCTAGACATTGGCGTGAGCTGCCTTGCCATTCATCGATGCGTGTATCTCTGATAGGAGTCTAATCGCACACCTGGATCCATTTTAATTACTGAACCACTCCACCTTCACGAATCCTGCGGGAATATCTCGCCCGTGCCAGTCCATATTTGGGCCGTCCATGCGTAAATGCACGCAAGCCCCCAATGCCGTGACATGTGCTGAGTGTATGTGCCGGACAGCGCAACATCAAAGCACGCTTTACTGCACCTGCACGGAAAAACCGGCTTATTGACCGACCCTTGGTTGGTGGAAATGGTACTGCTAGTCTATCAAACAAGGGCTTTCCAAGCAGGCCAAAATCCCTCTGTTAAATACAGGATCAGAGTGGGGGCTCAGGACGTTTGTAGATGCTAGCTTTCAGGGCAGTCTACAAGTTTTTTCTATTCATGGAGTAATTCAATACATATTAAGTCATTATTTCGGCTTTTGCACTCCCGCCTCCTCGCCGTCAATTCTGAAAGCAAAGAAATCGTCGAAAATTGATGAATACAACAACAGCCAGAATATGGCTGCAGTGGGTTATAACTTCGTAATAAAAAGGCCCTGATAGGCCGAAGAAACAAGAGTTTTGTTGCCCCTCATTCTTGGGTGATGTTGCCGTGGCTTTGCTCATCATTTCATGTCTAAACGCCTCCCGGTTTTCTTTTTCTTCCTGCACGGTGGCTCAATTTCATTTCGCAGGAAAGCAAACTTCGGCTGCGCTCAACCCATGCGAAGATTCCGAGATTCGATAGCCGTGCCAAGAATATGGACTTAAAAATCTTCCAAGAAATTGCTCGGTTCACAGATCAATAAAAGTGAGAGATTCGGGAATTTGCGTGACGTTGACTATTCGTGGGGTTGGGCTCGCTACCTATTTCTTCTGTCACACTGGAGCTTTTCTCTCATCTCGTCCGGGTAAACACATTCTAGAAATTTTACCATGGAAGTGCCCAGTAAGATAAGTATTTTTGCAAGCTCATAGCCCTCGTTAGCATTAAATCAATATATCATGAAAAAGAAGTGGAGGTGGTCTGATTCTCCTCACCGAGATCTGGCCTGAGTATCGGCAATGTAACATTGCATTTGGCTGGTATGCAAATCTGCTAAAATCGAGCTGCGCTGCATTTTCCAATGAAACTGCTTTCTTTTGTAGTTCTGAGCTTGAATCTGGGATTGGAATTATTCAAGGAAAAGTCATTGAGAGTTATATTTAATGAATTTCAAGTGGGACTAGTCTCTACAAAAGTTTCAATTTTGCCGCGCAGTTCCTCAAGTTCAACTCTTATTAGAACGCGACTGGGTTCTTTATAGTATTGTTTATTTACGTATATGATATACTACGGACCCCAACTCCTTATTTTGCCAAAGCCCTTAAGGGGCCAAAAGATCTTCTTTCCCCTTTTTCCTCATGAAGAGTTTTTTCTACTAGTAGTCACGTGACTTCGCACGTGACGTTCCATGTCTTTGAGTTGCGCTGACAACTCTCTGTAAATTTCCTTTCCAAATTTTGTGTGTCAGGTGTCATTCATTATAATATCCTCCTCATTGCCTTTTAACTGTGTCGCCAAGGAAATGATGTAAAATCAGGTTTGGGCCTACTATCGGCATCACACTGATGCTTACTAACGCGCATCAGTCCTTGCGTTTTGTTGTGAGTTTCATCAGATATCATGTCGAAAACTTCTCATCCCACAAGTTTTATCCACGTAGTTGGACATGCCAGACGTACATCTTCTTTAATTTCCTGCAAAATATGTAAAATGTTCCTCGCGTCTTTCATTGTCAGAGTATCACCCATTATTGAACCAAACAAAAGAAATGTCTAGAATACAGTTTTTTGTTATAGTGGAAGTTTTTTATGACTGAATGGAGAATTGTAGCTTTGGTGAGCCTTGTTTACTCAACCATGTTGGGGCAGTATTGTTTACTCAGGGTACTGCTCATCGGTACAATTATGCGATATATGGCACAATGTATTGTATGTCTTCCAGATTATCGGTACCAAAAACATTTGGTCTTCACTTTGAACGGCCCTTAGACTCTTATGCTAAACTTCTTACTTTAAGTCTTCTGATATGTGTCTAGCAACAAGAAGTTGCGCACATTACTGAGAGCATGAAGCTCTCAAGAATTATGTACAATACAATGAGATTCATTGGTGCCGCAATCTCAATCTTGCGCCGCCGGCAGAAAAAAACCTTGCACTTCTTCAAGAGGTAGCTTTTGTGTTCAACCATTATATTGCTGTGGCACATTTTCGATATGAACATTTATTAAGTATGATGCTTTTCATGTTAGGACAGATATGACCTTGGACTAAATAAATGTAGGGCTGTGAACTCTCATAAACCAATTTTGCTTATATAGTGTTTTACAAGTCTTCAGCCTTCGATTTGTCTTCCTGACAGCAAATCATTAATTCATAAATACTCTGGATAAATTAGGTTGATTATGGAGGGCACGCTGTTTCTGGTCCGGGAAACATTAAAAAAGTTCCATAAGCCTAAACTTGGTAATCATTCTTGAAGATGTATCCAGAAAATCTAATAAGAAAAAAATCACCCTCACGTTTCACGCACACAAGGTCAAACATATTGGCCATGAATAATTTTTGGCTGTCCGGGATGAAAACCCAGAGACATCAAAAGAAATTTTAATATCCGCTTGCTTAGGAAGCAAAACATTGTGTCTTGCTATATATTACTTCCGCATCCTTGAAATGCATAACCACTTTATATGCCTTCGGGACTGTTGCAAGCATATCGCGAGAGTTATTCATGATGATGCTCTTAGTCTTTCGGACTATCGAAATTTACGAAGCTTTAGCGACACATTTCATGAAAATCAATTTCGAAACTCTCCTTTGGGGGGAATGGATTCCATGGAATATTTGTTACTCTCATTTGATTCCCCAGTTGCTGGTAGGACATTTTACGTGAACAGAGGCACCTTGTATTTCATGCTAGGCACCACGAAAGATACTTTAGCTTTGCATAGAAATTGACGTTATATTATAAGGAGCTCAGTCAGAGCTGCTTTGCTTTGACTCAAATATATGTAAGACTTAGGCAGGATAAATATCAGGTAAACCACACTTGGCCTATTCCACGAGGACGAGAGCTAACCCCAAATCCCAAAATTCACTTCTTTTTTTTTTTTGTAAGAGTCATCTGATTAAAGAAACAATGTTATAATCAATACTATAGTATAGTTCACACGGAACATTAGAACAGTTGCCAAATACGTAGTGTCGAAAATCGGCCCAATTTCTTCTGCTAATCGTTACTTGTACGGTCCTTTTGGCTTGCGTCTGTTCAGATACCGAATATCATCTCATCGATCAACAGAATACGACTCCGGTAGTAGTTGCTTTAGCTCAAAGAAAAAAGCATAGCTTCAGAGCTTACCTCCTTGCAACTGACCATGTCTTTGAGTGTATACTTTAAAGACTGTGGTTATGAGGCTACACCCTCTCTGTGTTTAGCTTCAAACTTGAGCATTCTGGCTCAATCTTGTTTAAAAGCTGAAGAGTAGAGGAAGTTTTGGATATTTGAAATTCAACAGTGTTATGAAATATATAAAAACAAATGTAAGCCTTGACATACAAAGGCCGACTCGCACAAAGTTCCGGCATTCTTAAGCCTTCTGTAATAAGCAGTCTTATTTTCCAAAAGTGATTTTAACTTCTGTCCCAGTACACGAGCTGCCAATGGCGAGTGTCTTGTCTTGGCAGAGCACAAAATCGGTGTCTCCATCGACACTCGATTTTCCATTTATGACACCAAAGCCGACAT